CGAGCATATGCCTTGGGGAAGAGGCTAATTATTAAGGAATTGAAGGAAAATTTTACTGTAGCGACCATCATCAGCGGCCTGTCAGCTGGTAAACTACCTCATATACCGAGGATATTTTGCATAACATAACATAAATACTCATGCCTGTCACCCAGAGAGGTAGGCAGAGACTACGGACTTCCATTTGGCACGATCCTGACATACTTCTTTCGCCTCCTTTACATCCATATATCTACGCATGCTCGTCGGTTAAGGGTAGTTTTAACGTGGCCCATTTTCAAAATATCGCCAATTTGGTCGATAAACTTTTTTCTAGGGACGTCCCTTCCCGACTCTGCCGTTCACATTTGCCATATAAATTTGCTTTGTCAATCTTTCCTCATGAATTTTTTCTACATGACCATACCACCGAAGCATTCCTTTCTTAATCCTGGTCACAACATCATCTTGCATACCACATTTATCTCTTATCACGCAATTTCTCACCCTGTCATTCAGATTCAACCCTAGCACACTCACACACTCTTTAAAGACCGCATTTATACAGCATTTATTCTACTTTTGTGCTTCTTCTGCCACACACAGCTTTCACTACCATACATTAAAGTAGGGACTAACACAGAATTATGAATTAGCATATGTGCCTTTTTTGACACATTCTGGTTCTTCATAATAGAGTGTAGTGCCCCATTCACTCTATTCCCTGCATTTACTCGTCGTTCTATATCCTTATCATATCTACCATCCCTACTAAATACACATCCCAAATACACAAACTCATCCACTTGCTCAATTAACTCTCCTTCTATTTTTATTTCATATACCGTTTTGCTTTCTTCTCTTTCAAAAACCATCACTTTCGTCTTACTTGCATTCACTTTCATTCCCCTTTCTTTTAATGCCCAGTTCATTAATGTAATCATCATTTGCAAGTCAGCCGCCGATGACGCAAATATGACTATGACTATGACTATGACATCGGCATACAAAAGGCATTTGACGGTTAACTCGCCCATTCTTAACTCACATTCCTCATCTTTTAAAGTTTGCAAACACCTGTCCATAAATATGTAGGTTGAACAGCCAAGGGGAAGCTACACAGCCCTGTCTGACACCTTTTTTGATGCCAAACCAGTCCAAATAGACCCCATTGATCCTGACACAAGCAGTAGAGTCCCTATAAAAAGACCTTAATGCCTGTATCAAACCAGCGCTCTTTTCTTTTCTTCTTTAATTGCTGATGAGCTTGTAAACTGTATCAGTAACTGCTTTGAACAGGGCGTATTTCCAGACAGTTTAAAAGTAGCAAAAGTAACTCCGATATATAAAACAGGAACTAGATCAAATCCCGGAAATTACAGACCAATCTCAATATTACCAGTACTATCCAAAATTTTCGAGCGTGTGTTATATATTCGTCTTACAAACTATTTAAATTCTAAAAAAATATTATACAATAAACAATAAGCCTCCCACAATAAATAGTGAATCAATTTCTAAAGTAGATAATGAAAAATACCTTGGTCTCCTGTTGGATAATCATATGATATTTAAGTCTCATATAAATAATATTAAATCTAAATTGGTTTCTCTCACTAGCGCACTGCGAAATATAGTTCTATACTAACTACTAATTACTACTAACTATTTATAATTCATTAGTCAAACCACATATTGAATACCTTATAAAAGTCTGGGGCACAGCAGCAAAAACCAATATAGAAACAATACAGGTAGTACAGAATAAACTGATTAAGGAACTATTTAATTACGACTTTCTTACTCTAACAGCCCAAGTTTATAAGGACACTAAAATCATGAATATATCACTAACATATAAATATTATACTTGCATTTTAGTACGTAAATACTAAATAAAAGCATTCACACAGAATTAAGTTTTACAAAAAATAAACCTATAACAAAACAAGACCAAGACTATACAGAGAATTAAAACTACGCACAGCACGTACTAGTACTATATGTATGTAACCAATATATATGTGTGTATATATGTCTATAAAAATATAATTAAATATATATGTATGTATGTACTAATAACTAATAAAAAAGCAAATAAAACAAAACATTAAAAAGGACTTCTTAACAAGTATACATATAAATACAGATATAGTTATTAAATTTCATTAGGTCATTTAATTATCCAACCAAGTAATAATTGCGCTCAATCAAAAATACATATCACTTCCAGTCTCTATTGTTCAAAGTAAATTCGATTAAATGAAGCTAAAAATCGGTATATGAATAATGTTGCACTCCGCGATCGAACTAAATAAAGTAACCGTCATGAATGTTTATCTTAATCTTTGGTAGCCTTCTTTTATTATTTTAATATGTACTCATAACTTTGAATAAAACTTAATTTACGGATTTTGTCGCGTTTATTTCACTACTTTTACTTATTTTTAATTCCCGACGTTTCGGGTTTTACAGCAACCATGGTCACGGGGGGGGGGGGGGGGCTGAGATGTTTGACGTCCCAATGTCATTGTTAGCCCGGCTACTTTCAGTTTTTGAATATTAATTTTTGGGTCCGATTTACGCAAAACGAACTTACAGTATCTTGAATTCTTGCAGTGGTATGCTTGGGTTTGGGTTTAATTTTGTTAATTATAGGATCCCAAGCAGATGGCAGCACCCAACCATCTTCTCTATTGAAATTAGGATGTTTTTAATTTCAATAGCCTCGCGTATCATCCTTGGTAGGAATCGGTGTTCTTTTGCGAGGACTTGTGGTTTATCAAATCTGATGTAATGGTGGGGACAATCTTGAATATGTTCACAGACTGCAGAATTCCCGGAGCGTCGGTGCTTCACGTCAGCTATATGTTCTTTCACGCGGGTTTTTATGGATCTTATTGTTTGACCTATGTAAGAGAGACCACATTCATAATCTAACTTATTTATTTTTATTTTATTTTATTTTATTTCAAACAAAATCCACAGCTCTTTGTTACATCGTACGTACATCTTATGATCTTAAATTATAGCCAAAAACGGATTTACATTATTTAAATAGTATTTTCAATTTATAACGGACATGTTGAAGACAAAGTAGTTGGGACTAAAAATACATATTTTTAATCATCTAGAATGCAATCATACATAATTCTCGTATGCACCTCCCTCGCACGCGGGCATGTGTGCTGTGTGTGTGTGTGTGTGTGTGTGTGTGTGTGTGTGTGTGTGTGTGCGTGCGTGCGTGCGTGCGTGCGTGCAGTGCGTGTGTGTGTGTGTGTGCGTGCGTGCGTGTGCGTGTGTGTGTGTGTGTGTGTGTGTGTGTGTGTGTGTGTGTGTGTGTGTGTGTGTGTGTGTGAGTTAATGAGTTACCTAAACTCGCTACATCAGAAGTTTCAAGACATCCTTCTTAAACTTATCCTTACTGGAATGGAAAATATCAACTGAGTGGAATCTTTTATTATAAATTTTTTGTAAACGATTCACCAGAGAGTTTTGTGCATAGTTTGTCTTTGTCTTAACAACCGCAAACAAAGTGTATGTCTCGTTCTACGTTTCGGAGTACAAAAGAAGAGAACTCTATCATCTAAAGTTACACAGTCAATACTTCCATTACATAAACCAAGCAAAAATGCCATGTCCATTAGAGTACCTCTATCCTCAAGGCTTATTATATTGAAATATCTACAAGACTCTTCATAGTTATTAGTGTAAATAAAATTTCTATACTTTAAATGTTTCAGGAATTTGTGCTGAATTTGTTCAAGTTATTTATATGAACAGTGTAATGCGGGTTCCACACTGTACTGCAATATTCAAGGACGCTTCTAACATATGAAAAGTAAAGTAATATAATACAGTTAATATCATTAAAGGGTCTGCTTACGCGTAGGATGAAGCCAAGGCTTTTGTAGGCCGAGTGCGTTATTGTTTCAATATGTTCTGAGAAGCTTAACTTGCAATCCAGTAATATCCCCAGATCCTTCACTAATTCTTTCTTAGTTATATTAAGGTGATTTATTTGGTAGTTGAAATTTGTAGGTTCTCTTTTCCTTGTGAATGAAACGTAAAGACACTTGCTGACATTAACTCCTATACGATTTACTACATAATAGTTACCAAGTCGCACAAGATCATCTTGAAGTTTCATGCAATCTACATAATCAGTGATTTTCATATATATTTTAGTGTCATCAGCGTACATCAGAAACTTAGCATTATGAAAAAACTTGCCCACATCATATAGATAGCACACGTACAGTAGAGGACCCAAAATAGAACCTTGTGGAACTCCGGATGTTATTTCCACGAAGTCAGAACGGAATCCTCCTAAGACTACTGCCTGAGATCGTTTCCACAGATATGATTCCATCCACCTGAAAAGGTTACCTCGTATGCCCAGCTCAAAAAACTTACGTAGTAATATGATGTGATCTACGCGATCAAAGGCTTTCTCAAAGTCAGTGTAAATGACATCTACTTGCGACCCTCCATCCATATTTGAGGTAATATAATCAATAAATGCGCCCAAGTTAGTTGCTGTAGAGCGCCCTTTCACAAAGCCATGTTGTTCTGGGGGTATTGAAGGTAATATGATGGGGTATATGTGCATATGAACGATTCTTTCTAGCAATTTACTTAACACATTGAGTATTGATATTGGCCGGTAATTCTCAATTATTGTCTTCAGCCTATTATTGTGTATAGGTACAACATAGGCTTCCTTCCAAATACTTGGAAAGTAGCCATCGCGAAGACACCTATTGAATAATAGTGCTATAGGAACAGATAAGGATTTTGCACATTTTACAAATAATACAGGTGGCAATTTATCGCCACCGGCACCTTTCGTAATGTCAAGCTTACAAATTAAATTCTTAACTTTCTCTGGATTTATTTCAATATCTTGAATTACATTTAAATTTAAATTATCAGATCGTATAGTCAAATTATTGTCAATAGATTTAGTAAAATTACTTTAAAAAAATCGTTAAATGACGAGCGGATTGCTATTGGGTTATTCACTTAGTGTCTCCGTATGTCATTTCTTGAGGATAATCAGAATGGTTTTTACGCTTAGACTTTACATAACTCCAGATAGCTTTGGGGTTATGTTTAATATTCTCTTGAGTGCGTGTTAGGTACAGTTTATAACATTGTTGCTCTAGTATCTTTTGTCGTTTTCTCAGCTCCGAAAAGTCTGCGTAATCAATCTGATTTTTATGCTTCTTCCAACTAGAGTGCAATTTACTCTTTTCTTTTATAAGGTTAATTAGTGCTCTGCTGTACCATATTGGAAAAGAATAATTACCACCACATCGGATTTTAGGAACGAATTTTTCAATTAATTCATTTATCATACTGTAAAATTTATCAGTAACACGATCTAAACTTGTTTCCCTTGTGATAAAGGCCCAGTCTTGTTTCAAAAGTAAATCATTCATACTACGGTAGTCTGCTCGCTGAAATTGATATTTAGTCCTAAAAGAAGGCCTGCGTGAAGGTACTAAGACGTCCGTTGCAGACATGTACAGAGCTGGATGATATACATCTTCTATAACAAGCACAAATTCAGATTTTTGAACTTTTATCGGGAAAGATGAAAAGATTAAGTCTAGAGTGTTCATGCTACTGTTTAAGAGTGTATTGTATTGAGAAAGGCCTATGAAAGAACAACAAGATATAAGATCAGGTGCTGCAGTTTCAACTTCGACTGATCCTTTCCTACGTACAACTGGGTCTCCAGAAGTCCAGTCAATACATGGTAAATTAAAATCTCCTGAAACAATTATATAGTCATTTGGGTATTTATCACGAACAGATAACAGTGTATTAATGAGATCCTTTATGCGCGGAGATATTTTATTGATTAGGTGGTATATAAACTACTGAAATGTGTGTGTCATATGAAGAGCCTATGTTACTTCCTGGAATGGTAATCCAAATGCATTCCAAAACGGTATTATTCCATTCTGGTATCATGCGCGCGTGTAGTAACTTGTAAACTCCTGCATCTTGTAGAGGGATATTACACTTGACGGATGGTAAAAATTGACTAATCTTCTTAGGCGGCTTGTAGTATGTTTTAATGGAAGCTCGCTTCAAGATGTAGCCAACCTTGTCTGTGATTCCACTGACATATGGTAGTACAGCAGGTACACGCTCGACTGTGGCCGGCTTCACTCGGTTACTGTGACGTAGGCGCGGGACCCGAAACTTGTTGTCTTGCAATACTTGCTTGACATGCTGAAGTTCGGCGGCCAGATGTTTTCTGTCACAGATCCCTCGTGCTCTCTGAAACAAAGATTTACCCACGGTAGCTAACTGTGAAGGATGATGGTGAGATTCACCATTTAAATATCAGTTGGTATGGGTCTTTTTCCTATACACAGTGTGAACAATTGTGTTATTAGGATTTCGAATAACTAAAACATCTAAGAAAGCTAAAGAATTATTTGCCTCTAACTCCATTGTAAATTGTATTTTAGAGTTTATAGAGTTAAGGTGGTTTAAAAATGTAATTACTTTGTCAGATGGTAAAATTGTGAAAGTGTCGTCTACGCACCGCTTGTAGAATCTTGGATTTACAAGAGCAGTAAGAAGGGCTTTCTCCTCGAAGTCCTCCATGAATATGTCGGCGACTATGGGAGATACAGGTGAGCCCATCGCCACACCATCTACTTGCTTCTAGATTTCTTCCTTCCACAATAGATAGCCAGATGTGAGGCAGTGTTTGAGTAATACTGCATATTCAGCAGGCATGTTATTATCTTCTAGCTTCCTAGTTACAATTGATATGCAATCTTCAATAGGTAGGCATGTGAATAGTGACTGAACATAAAAACTGATCATAGATTCATTGTCAGCAAAATGTAGGTCTTTTATCTCACTAACAAAATGGTATAAATCCTTTGTGTGTGCTCTGGTATGTCCACTCAGTGGTGACAGTACTTTTGCCAAGTGTTGTGTCAGCTTACAAGTTGGTGAATCGATCTGGCTCACTATAGGAGGTAGTGGAGCGTTTGGTTTGTGTATCTTCGGTAACTCATACAACCTCGGTGGTTTGGTACATGATAGTATTAGCGAATTCAAGTCGAGATTTAATTTTTCGGAGTATTTCTTTATTAAATCGCTAGTTGCTTTAAAGGTGTTAGTTGTGGGGTCTGTTTTGACCTTTTTGTATGTACTTTCGTCCGATAAAAGCTGTAGTATTTCAAAATTATACTCAGACGTGTCTATTATCACCGTAGCATTTCCTTTATCTGCGCGGAAAATCGTTAGCTCTGGTCTGTTCCGTAAGTTAATCAACGCTATTGATAAACGTAAGTTAATCAAGGCTATTGAAATTAAAAAACATCCTAATTTCAGTAGAGAAGATGGTTGGGTGCTGCCATCTGCTTGGGATTCTATAATTAACAAACTTAAACCCAAACCCAAGCATACCACTGCAAGACTTTAAGATACTCTAAGTTCGTTTTGCGTAAATCGGACCAAAAATTAATATTCTGAAAAAACTGAAGGTAGCCGGGCTAACAATGACATTGGGACGTCAAACATCTCAGTCCCCCCGTGACCATGGTTGCTGTAAAGCACTCGAAACGTCGGGAATTAAAAATAAGTAAAAGTAGTGAAATAAACGCGATAAAATCCGTAAATTTAGTTTTATTCAATGTGTAGTGTTCGCGTAAATTTAAGAAATCATTATGTGAACCAGTACGGAACTGGTAATAGCAAATAAAATTCGCCGATTAGAAGATCTTAAAACCAAGCTTGCAAGATATATAACATCTTTAAATTTCTTGAAGAGATGCAGAGACCATAATCTCATTCCTACGTGTGTCAAAATATCAACAAAAAAGGACATTCGAGGAAGCGCAAAGATCTTAAATCAGGTAAGTAAAAAGTTGTTACGAACGGTGAATCAGCAGAAACGGTACGATTTACATGTCATAAACAACACCATAGACAATTTGTTCAGTGAACTAAAGACAGTTTTAACGACATTTGATTTTAATAATTGCATCGAAACTTTAAACAAACGAGAAACAGCAAAATACAATGAATGCAAAAATAAACAAATAGAAAAATACCAAAAATTAACGATCAAATCAAATGCCAACCATCTAAGTCAACGTCAGAACAAAACACAACCGTTGACCACAGACGCAAACAATAAACAACGCACGGTCTATAATCTGTCAAAACATACACTGGACGAACCAACAATAAAGGTATTAGGGAAGGGAATGAACTTCGCATTAACACCGCGAAAAATCCCGTAAAAAGAAATTATCTGTAGTGTTGAGGATTGTCTGTTTAAAAATAGTATTGGTAAGGAAGATTTGGAGGCTATACGTCAAGATATTTCGTCCTTGTTACGTCGTAGTTCAGTACCGAAACTAAACCTTCCTAAAGACGAATTTACAGCGTTGATTAACTTACGAAACAGACCAGAGCTAACGATTCTCCGCGCGGATAATAGAAATGCTACGGTAATAATGGACACGTCAGAGTATAATTTTAAAATACTACAGCTTTTATCGGACGAAAGTACATACAAAAAGGTCAAAACAGACCCCATAACTAACACCCTTAAAGCAACTAGCGATTTAATAAAGAAGTACTCCTAAAAATTAAATCTCGACGTGAATTCGCTAATACCATCATGTACCAAACCACCGAGGTTGTATGGGTTACCGAAGATACACAAACCAAACGCTCCACTACTTCCTATAGTGAGCCAGATCGATTCACCAACTTGTAAGCTGACACAACACTTGGCATAAGTACTGTCACCACTGAGTGGACATACCAGAGCACACACAAAGGATTTATACCATTTTGTTAGTGAGATAAAAGACCTACATCTCGCTGACAATGAATCTATGATCAGTTTTTATGTTCAGTCACTATTCACATGCCTACCTATTGAAGATTGCATATCAATTGTAACTAGGAAGCTAGAAGATAATAACATGCCTGCTGAATATGCAGTATTACTCAAACACTGCCTCACATCTGGCTATCTATTGTGGAAGGAAGAAATCTAGAAGCAAGTAGATGGTGTGGCGATGGGCTCACCTGTATCTCCAATAGTCGCCGACATATTCATGGAGGACTTCGAGGAGAAAGCCCTTCTTACTGCTCTTGTAAATCCAAGATTCTACAAGCGGTACGTAGACGACACTTTCACAATTTTACCATCTGACAAAGTAATTGCATTTTTAAACCACCTTAACTCTATAAACTCTAAAATACAATTTACAATGGAGTTAGAGGCAAATAATTCTTTAGCTTTCTTAGATGTTTTAGTTATTCGAAATCCTAATAACACAATTGATCACACTGTGTACAGGAAAAAGACCCATACCAACTGATATTTAAATGGTGAATCTCACCATCATTCTTCACAGTTAGCTACCGTGGGTAAATCTTTGTTTCAGAGAGCACGAGGGATCTGTGACAGAAAACATCTGGCCGCCGAACTTCAGCATGTCAAGCAAGTATTGCAAGACAACATGCTTCGGGTCCTACGTCACAGTGACCGAGTGAAGCCGGCCACAGTCGAGCGTGTACCTGCTGTACTACCATATGTCAGAGGAATCACAGACATGGTTGGCTACATCTTGAAGCGAGCTTCCATTAAAACATACTACAAGCCGCCTAAGAAGATTAGTCAATTTTTACCATCCGTCAAGTGTAATATCCCTCTACAAGATGCAGGAGTTTACAGGTTAGATTGTGAATGATGTCTCTCTTACATAGGTCAAACAAAAAGATCCATAAAAACCCGCGTGAAAGAACATATAGCTGACGTGAAGCACCGACGCTCCGGGAAGTTTGCAGTCTGTGAACATGTTCAAGATCGTCCCCACCATTACATCAAATTTGATAAACCACAAAACCTCGCAAAAGAACACTGATTCCTACCAAGGATGATACGCGAGGCTATTGAAATTAAAAAACATCCTAATTTCAATGGAGAAGATGGTTGGTTGCTGCCATCTACTTGGGATCCTATAATTAACAAAATTAAACCCAAACCCAAGCATACCACTGCAAGACTTCAAGATACTGTAAGTTCGTTTTGCGTAAATCGGACCAAAAATTAATATTCAAAAACTGAAGGTAGCCGGGCTAACAATGACATTGGGACGTCAAACATCTTAGTCCCCCCCCGTGACCATGGTTGCTGTAAAGCACCCGAAACGTCGGGTGAATTAAAAATAAGTAATAGTAGTGAAATAAACGCGATAACATCTGTAAATTTAATTTTATTCAATGTGTAGTGTTCGCGTAAGTTTAAGAAATCATTACTCATATCTTTTTAACATTATTTGTTTAGATTATAAAAAAATAATGTATTTTTATTTTGTTATCAGTTTGTTTGTGTGTCGTGCCGTTTAATATAAAATTATGTGAGTATTGCACATTTCTTATGTAAGTGAATTTTAATTCTTTTGAGAAATAAATATCTTAAACCATAAACCAGCGCTCAACTCATATGAGTTCAGTGTTTGCCATAACACATTCCTGTCCACTCTGTCATAAGCCTTTTCCAAGTCCATGAACGCACAAAAAACTTTCTAGTTTTTGGCCAAATACTTCTCCGCAATCATGCGCATGG